TAATCAAAAATTTCCCATAAACACTTATCCCACATTAATTTATACTATCAATTACTTGCCCCTACAATTTATACACAAAATTCAACTTTACCACTATATTCCTAATCAAAAATATTTTACTCAATACTACAATGAAATTCTTAAACACAAACTATATACATAGATACAAATATCTCTTACATATTAACAAAAGATTACACATGTGAATGTTTGTGTATTGCTTTATCTTTGTAATCAAAATATTCCCACAAACCCTTATCCCACATTAATCTATACTATCAATTACTTGCCTTGGAATTTATACAACAGATTTAACTCTACTACTATATTCCTAATCAAAAATATTATATTCAATACTACAATAAAATTCGTGTCAAACAAACTATATACATAGATACAAATATCTCTTACATATTAAGAAAACATTCCACCCGGGCGAAGCGCACCTGTTGATAAACGTAGAAATTATTTTCGAATTTATGAGTTTATAACTATGATAAAAAAAAAACAAGAAGAGCAAAAATGATGATTTTATGCAGCCTCATAAAAAAGCTCTTGATAAACGTAGAAATTATTTGTTGATGGTGAGTTTGGCTATAACCAGGATAACAAAAGAAAGAGAGCAAAATTAATGATTTTCTCCTGTTTGACGAAAGAGCTCTTGATAAATGTATAAATCATTTGCTAATTGAAGAGTTTTGCTATAACCATTATAACGAAAAACAATGAACAAAATTGACAGTTTTCTACAACTTTATAAAAATGTCCTTGACAACCTTAAATATCATTTGCTGGTTGATGAGTTTGGTTATAACCATGATATAAAAAAAAGAAGTTGATGGGTTTCTGCAATGTAATGAAAGAGCCCTTGATAAACGTAAAAATTATTTGCTGATTAATTAGTGTGGCTATAACCATGATAACAAAACAAGAGAACCAGAATTGACGGCTCCGATGAAAGAGAACTTGATAAATAGAAATCATTTGCAGGTTGACGAGTTTGGCTGTAACAATAAAAACAAAAAAACAATGAACAAAATTGACGGTTTTCTGCAAGCTCATGAAAAAGAACTTGATAAACGTAAAAATTATTTGCTCATTGATGTGTTTGGCTATAACCATGATAACAAAACAAGAGAAGAAGAATTGACGGTTTTCTATAATCTAATGAAAGAGATCTTAATAAACCTAGAAATTATTTGCTGATTGATGCGTTTGGCTATAACAATAATAACAAAAACTGAGCAAAATTGACGGTTTCTGCATCCTCACGAAAAAACTATTGACAAACGTAGAAATCATTTGCTAATTATGAGTTTGACTATAACCATGATAACAAAAAAAGAGGAGAAGATTTGATTGTTTTTCCGTAGTCTCATGAAAGAGCTCTTGATAAACGTAGAAATCGTTTGCTGATTGAAACGTTTTGCTATAACCATTATAACGAAAAAATGAGCAAAATTGATAAGTTTCTACAACATGATAAAAGAGCTCTTGATAAACGTAGAAAACATTTGCTGTTTGATGAGATATGATATAACCATGATAACACTGTTTGATGAGATATGATATAACCATGATAACAAAAAAATGAGTGAAACTAACGATTATTTTACAGCCTAATAAAACACCTGTTGATAAACGTAAAAATTATTTTCTTATTTATGAGTTTATAACCATGATAAAAAAAACAAGAAGAGCAAAAATGTGGTTTTATGGAGCCTCATGAAAACGTTCTTGATAACCGTAGAAATCATTTGTTGATGGTGAGTTTGGCTTTATTCGGGATAAAAAAAAAAAGAGAAAAATTGAAGATTTTCTTTTGTTTGATGAAAGAGCTCTTGGTAAATATATAAATCATTTGCTAATTGAAGAGTTTTGTTATAACCATTATAACGGAAAATGGGTAAAATTGACAGTTTTCTACAACTCTATAAAAATGTCCTTGATAACCGTAAATATCATTTGCTGATTGATGAGTTTGGTTATAACCATGATAAAAAAAAAAAAAAAAATTGATGGGTTTCTGCAATGTAATGAAAGAGCTTTTGATAAACGTAAATATTATTTGATGATTGATGAGTGTGGCTATAACCATGATAACAAAACAAGAGAACTAGAATTGACGGCTCCGATGAAAAAGAACTTGATAAATAGAAATCATTTGCGGATTGACGAGTTTGGCTATAACAATAAAAACTAAAAACAATGAACAAAATTGACGGTTTTCTACAAGCTCATGAAAAAGAATTTGATAAACGTAAAAATTATTTGCTGATTGATGTGTTTGGCTATAACCATGATAACAAAACAAGAGAAGTAGAATTGACGGTTTTCTATAATCTAATGAAAGAGATCTTAATAAACTTATAAATCATTTGCTGATTGATGAGTTTGGCTATAATAATAATAACAAAAAAAGAAGCAAAATTGATGGTTTCTGCAGCCGCACGAAAAAACTATTGACAAACGTAGAAATCATTTGTTAATTATGAGTTTGGCTATAACCATGATAACAAAAAAAGAGGAGAAGATTTGATGGTTGTCCTTAGTCTCATGAAAGAGCTCTTGATAAACGTAGAAATCGTTTGCTGATTGAAACGTTTTGCTATAACCATTATAACGAAAAAATGAGCAAAATTGATAAGTTTCTACAACATGATAAAAGAGCTCTTGATAAACGTAGAAAATATTTGCTGTTTGATGAGATATGCTATAACCATGATAACAAAAAAATGAGTGAAACTACCGATTTTTTTACAGCCTAATGTATCACCTGCTGATAAACGTAAAAATTATTTTCTGATTTATGAGTTTATAACCATGATAAAAAAAAAAACAAGGAGAGCAAAAATGTGATTTTATGCAGCCGCCTCATGAAAAAGTTCTTGATAAACGTAGAAATCATTTGTTGATGGTGAGTTTGGCTATCACCGGGATAACAAAAAAAGAGAGCAAAAGTAACGATTTTCTTCTATTTGATGAAAGAGCTCTTAGTAATGTATAAATCATTTGCTAATTGAAGAGTTTTCTATAACCATTATAACGAAAAATGGGTAAAATTGACAAATTTCTGCAACTTTATAAAAATGTCCTTGATAACCGTAAATATCATTTGCTGATTGATGAGTTTGGTTATAACCATGATAAAAAAAAAAAGAAGTTGATGGTTTTCTGCAATGTAATGAAAGAGCTCTTGATAAACGTAAATATTATTTGATGATTGATGAGTGTAGCTACAACCATGATAACAAAAAAAGAGGAGAAGATTTGACGGTTTTCTGTAGTCTCATGAAAAAACTCTTGATGAACGTAGAAATGGTTTGCTGATTAAAAAGTTTTGTTATAACTATTATAACGAAAAAATAAGCAAAATTGATAAGTTTTTGCAGCATGATGAAAGAGCTCTTGATAAACGTAGAAATCATTTGCTGCTTGATGAGATAAGTTATAACCATGATAACAAAAAAACGAGCGAAACTAACAGTTTTTTTACAGCCTAATAAAACACCTGTTGATAAACGTAGAAATTATTTTCTGATGTATGAGTTTATAACCATGTTAAAAAAACAAGAAGAGCAAAACTGATGGTTTTATGCAGACTCATGAAAAAGCTCTTGATAAAAGTAGAAATCATTTGTTGATGGTGAATTTGGCTATAACCACGATAACAAAAAAAAGAGCAAAATTGACGATTTTCTTTTGTTTGATGAAAGAGCTCTTGGTAAATGTATAAATCATTTGCTAATTGAAGAGTTTTGCTATAACCATTATAACGGAAAATGGGTAAAATTGTCAGTTTTCTGCAACAAAAAGAGTAAAAATGATAGTTTTATGCAGCCTCATGAAAAAGCTCTTGATAAACGTAGAAATCATTTGTTGATGATGAGTTTGGCTATAACCAGGATAACAAAAAAAAAAAAAGAGATCAAAATCGAAGGTTTTCTCCTGTTTGATGAAAGAGCTCTTGATAAATGTATAAATTATTTGCTAATTGAAGAGTTTTGCTATAACCATTATAATGAAAAAATAGGTAAAATTGACGGTTTTCTACATCGTTATAAAAATGTCTTTGATAACCGTAAATATCATTTGCTTATGGATGAGTTTGACTATAACCATGATATAAAAAAAAAATTGATGGGTTTCTGCAACGTAATGAAAGAGCTCTTGATAAATGTAAAAATTATTTGCTCATTGATGAGTGTTGCTATAACCATGATAGCAAAACAAGAGATACAAAATTGACGGTTTTCTACAATCCGATGAAAGAGAACTTGATAAACGTAGAAATCATTTGCAGATTGATGAGTTTGACAATAAATAGTCAGTATTACCGACGAGATGCTTTGTTGGTAATTATTTTTTGTTTTTTCCATTCACAATCAAAACTCTAAAGTTGGCGATTGAACGTTAATTGTTTCTTGTGTTCTAAATCGGAAAACGACCAAGTACATATCGTCACACGCAAAGAGAATGCTATGGAGTAATGACGTTCGTTGATGTCTTATTGTCTTGCAATTTTTTTAAAAAAATGATTAGTGTCTTATTTGTTTAGCATTTATAATATCACGGTTTTTTTTTGTCATCATTTCCCATATTTTCTTACCCTAAACCCTAAACATTCTCTAATCTCTCATTATTTTACCTTTGCCACAAAATTATCTCCGCGCATTTGCGCGGACATCACCTAGTTTCCATTAAAAAAAAAAGAATTGCTAAATAGGTCCAATAAACAAAGGCTTATTTGACTCCGCCTTCCCTACCGGAGTTCGACTCCAGTAAGTCGCGTTACCCCGCGTAGTAGGGATTGGCTATGGATCGGGCCTTGTCGATCCAAAGATGTCAAAAAAAAAAAAAAAAACAAAGGCTTATTGGTCGAAAATCTCTTTTCCAAAAAATCTTTTTTTTCGACATCATTTTTTTTTTGTTAAAATACATCATTTTATTTTATTTTTTTGAACACCAAATACATCATTTTTTACCATTCATTTTTTTTACCACCAATTGGTATATTTTTTAAAGCATGTTTCATTTTATACTATTGGAATGTTTGTTCCCTTGTTCTTTTGATTGAATCGATAACCCTTTAGAATAATGTTTATGCCCACCAAGTGTTTGACAAAATCCCATAATTCATGATTTAGTGTTTCTTGTGGCATAAGATTACAAAGCTTCATTACAATTTTTGGCGTTCAATTCTTGATATATTATCACGTGAGGATCACGTGAGAACAAACTAACCGACTCTGACCCTATAAGTAAAAGTCCTCGCCTTTCGTCTTCTTTCCCATTTTCTTTCTCTGCCTTTTAATTTTCTCGAGAAAATTCAGAAAGAAAATCTCCATTGTTGTGTTCTCCCTAGGAAAACCATATTCAAATAAAGAAGCTTTTCCTTTCGATCATTGAGATGGATCCGTAAGTAGTTTAATCCTCATCTTCCGAAGTATATTTATGCTTTTCTCATACATTTTCTTCTTCTTGGTGCTTATCTATTGTTCAGAGATCGATCAGTAACGCAAGACGATGCAGAGGAATCTGTAGTGAAACGAAACGCCACTTGTGTTTCAGCTCTTAATATGATAATCAAGGTTTCGAAAACTTCACAAACCAAAAGACTCTGTTTTTGTCGATCTTGGTATATGTTTTCAAGAATGTGAATTTGTGCAGTCTCTATGGGACATTAACGTTTTCGCAAGCTCCAGAGAAGATGAACCTGTTTTTCATGAGTTCCTTCTCAACGATCTAAGTCTCAAACATCCTCTGGTCTAACCTCTCATCTTTTAAAAATCTATGTTGATTACTTCTTTCTCAAGACTTGATGTTTTCTTGTTCTTTACGCTTTAGGAAGCAAATGGTGTTTTTGACCTGTTTCTAAACATCTTGGAAGCTCTGCCTAACTGGGGTTCGTACTTTGAAGTATACGAAATGGCGAAAAAGATTTGCAATAGATGCAAGATGGATTTGGAATATCCGACTGAACGTTCTTTTGGTCTTATCATCAATGCTAGTTCACTCAGAGAAGTCAAGGCAAGTCTCTTTTTTTCTTATACATTGAAAGTAGAATTCAGTCTCGTGAAAGTGTTATTGGTTATTTGCAGTCTGTATTCAAGCATTTTACATTTGAGAATATCGTTAAGGTCATCAAGATGAACTTAAAGATGCCTTGTGATAAGGAAGGATGTGGAAAACGGAACTATGTTCAACGTATGATTAACAAACTTCCATCTGTTTTCACAATTGGTAAGCCTGTGATATATAATATAAGCTATGTTCAACAGCAAAATGCAGTAGTTTTGAGGTTTTTTCCTCTCGTATTGTTTAGCACTTGAGTGGACAAAGAATGAGACTGCAGGAGAAATATACGATACTGCTTCTTTTCTGGCGACTGAGATTGATGTTAGTGTGATATACCAATACAAAGGTGACAGTACATGCACTAAATACCGTCTTGTCTCAATGGTAAGGGTCAAGTATATACAATTTGTTTCAATTCCATTAAGTTTCAGATAGGAGATTATGTTAACAGAAACAACTCCAATGGTAATATATTCAGGTTTGCTCGCATGGAGAACGATACAACTGTGTAGCTTATGAAAACAATAGATGGGTCAGATATCTTCGTTCTGAGATAGAGGTATAAAGCTTTTAGACATTTTTGTATGTTGAACTGTGACTTGTTTACCTGAGTGAGGGTATGTTGTTTGTCCAGGTTATTGGAGACTGGGATAGTGTTGTCAGCATTTGTTTAACGCAGAGTATTCGACCCCAGATTCTGTTTTTTGAAAGTGTAAGCTCGTTTTGACTGCATATACTTGCTCATGTTTTTTCTCTTTTATTATGTGTGTGTTCTCAATTCCACCTACTTGAATTGCAGGTTATGAAGAAGGAGCAATAAATAAAAAAGAGTTTTCAATTGGTGTATAGAGAAAAGTGCTTGGAGTCTAAGTCAAAAACTATAGGAGTGAGTAGAAATATGATTTGGTGGTGTTACAACATTGTGAACAGATTTGTATATGTTTTCTTCAGCACAAATTCAGTATCCTGATTGTTATGATCATTGAACACTTGTGTAATAGATAACCATTTTTTGCTGATCCTTAACACAACAACAATACATGCAAGCTTGACCTTGTTTATAAGGAGATTTAAGTATTGTTTGTTCCTGAGAGTATGTAAGAATAGATTATGTACAGTATTTTTATATACGAAAGGTTAAATTCATGGCCATAAGAGATCTCTTCACTAAAATTGATGAATTTAGTATTTGGTTAATTACCATCATTAGTTTGTAGTTTAAGGATTAATGGGGCCAATTTGGAAAATGTATAAAAGTTGTGGGGGCGATACAGATATAGATTATCACATTTCCGAGAGTAAAGCTCATCACATTTCAGAATCCAGATATTGGGACATTGGTGCGGTCACTCATCGGATTTGCTTCTATTTATGGCGTGAAAGCTCGTGCGGGAAACGAATATGATACTGGGGTTTGGGTTGGTGATAGAAAGATTGCTGCTATTGGGGTTCGAATATCTTCTGGAATCACTTGTCATGGTTTGGCCTTTAACATATATCCTGATTTGAAATACTTTGAGCACATTGTACCTTATGGGATTCCTGATAAACAAGTTACATCGTTGCGAAAAGAGACGGATACCTTGCTTCCTTCAGAAGAAGTGATTCATGAGCAGTTGGTTTCTTGTTTAGCCAAAGTGTTTTCTTATGATGATATTGTGTGGAAGGAAGATCCTTCAGTCATTTTGGTCACCCCAGATAACGAATTTCTCGGTTTGATCAGGTTTTGATTTCTGCTTGACATTGGTTGTTGCATTTGGCCTGCTTCTGTGTAAAAAACTCAGCTTTGACTTTCTTACATCAAAAGTTTCTGCCTTACATTTTTGTATGACACAATGAGTAAGATCTGAATCTTTTCTGATCGAGGTTCAGGTTTCATTGGCGATACTGAAGGTACCACTGCAGTTCTTTCGCCGTGAATGAGAGTATGTTCACAAATTTTTTTCCTTTCTCTTCTTGTTGTACTTAGATTTCTGTTTTTGTTTGTATTTATAATTCTTATGATACTATTATTTGGTATTTATCTCTGTGTGATTGTTTACTGTTGAGTTGCTTGTGAGTGTTGGAATATGTGAGCAGATTTAGAGGAACAAAATTAAGAGAGGCATGTATATTCTAATCCATGATGATGGTGAGGACTATGAGTTAGGACTGTTCTACAAGTCCCTTCCTCGTGAGTAAGCAGCACTCACTCTCTTTTCTTCGTATTATTGTTGCTTTTGGATACATGGTCTTGCTGAAGCAGATTCTTTTACATGTTTCTGTTAGGTTTATTCTTGGATTTGTCTTCCCATTTGCGTGGTACGTTTTTGTATTTGATAACTATTACCGTAGAGATCCACGGGAAAGATCTAGTCTTGCCGCCTCTGCTATAGCTGTGAGTTATTGGTATCCAATGCATTCTACTCAAATTTCCTTTTTTTAGTTGTAAAAGAAAACACAAATCAGCTGTAAAAGAGGATTTACCAACTTATCTAGTTTGTTTAAAATTTGTGCATTGATATTATCTGTTGCACTTGTGATCACCTTGTTTGCGCTTGTTTTCTCGGGTGGCTAGTCTGTTTCGAAGAGAAGGTACTGCTTGCTAGTCCTTTTAGAATCAAAATTTGGTCATTCACGTTGGAACCTTAAGCCAGAAAAGAACCCTAGCCAAGGTAATTTCTGGTTCTTATCTTACTTCTTCAAAGTCTTTTCTTTCTTTATTGTACCTCAAGAAACAGAGAAAGGAATGGAATAAAGGGAAGAAGCTTTGACGATTAGAATTTGTAGTGCCTCTATGTCTAGTGTTGTTTGAATCATCATCATATTTATTTCACAAAAGATGCACCTTGGAACATCACATCCAAAAATTGCAGAAAGTATTAATTATAAGTCTTTTAACAGACGAAGATAATAGTGCAAACCAAACCATTTGGTGAATCTTGGGAAAGAAGAAACACATTAGAGATTCCTGAAACAATTCAACTTCTTTCCTCCTAATAATACACACATTCTGCTTTCTAATCTTCACGCTAATAGATGGCCTCAAGTCAACGAACAAAAGAATTAATGTCAATCCAGAAATGGTTAGAAGAATCTTAATTAGTGTCTTTCAAGTTGAGAAGCTGTGGAATGCTTGTTCTCTTACTTTGTGTTCTACACCAAATGGATTTATATGCCCACGAAGTGTTTGACAAAAGTTCACAATACCATAATTCATGATTTTGGGTTTCTTGTGGCATAAGATCACAGTTGCAATTTTGGCGCTCAATTCTCAATACTCAATATATATCACGTGAGAGTCACGTGAACAAACTAACCGACTTTTGACCCAATAAACCCTTTAATCCTTGCCCTTCGTCTTCTTCTCTCTGTTTTCTCTCTGTTCCTTTTTTAATTTTCTCGAGAAAATCAAGAAAGAAAATCGCCATTGTTTTCTTTTCCTGGTTTCACTTTCGTTCCAAATCATGGAGAAAGCCGAAGATATTCACAAGAAACTAGATATGTAAGTAGTAAAATCTCCTCCTCCGAGTATACTTATGCTTTTTCCCATATAATTTCTCTGAGAATTCGTCTGTTTGTTGCTTATCTATTGTTCAGAGAATACGACGCAGAGGACTCATCACTTAATATGATACTCAAGGTTCTGCAGATTTCAACAAACCCAAAAAAAAAAAACAAATCCTGCATCTGTTTTATCGATCTTGTTAAAGTTTTCAAGAATGTGATTTTTTTGCAGTCTCTGTGGCAAATTAGCGTTTTTGAAAGACAGAACAAAGTACGTCAGAGCTTCACTGGCTCTTTTCTTAAGGAAGACATACTTCGTCTTTCTTTTATCAACAATCTCAGTCTCAGTCAACCTCCGGTCTCCCCTCTGCTCTCATCTTTAAAACCCTTTGTCTTATATATATGTGTGTTAGTTACTTCTTTCTCAAGTTAAATTTTTTTTTTTGGTATTCTACAGGAAGCAAATAATGTCTTTGAACTGTTTGTATACATCTTGGAGAATTTACCTCCCTGGAACCCGTACTTTGAAGTGTACGAATTGGCGAAAAAGATTTGCAATAGATGCAAGATGGATTTGGAGTATCCAGTTAAACGTTCTTATGGTATGATCATCACTGCTAATTCACTCAGAGAAACCAAGGTAAGTCATTTTTTTGTCTTTTAATCTTTTAAGCAAACAAGTCTTTCATGAAAGTGAGGTTAGAAACGTATTTGATTATCATTCATAGGGATTATTCGAGAATCTTACATTCGAGAAGATCGTTCAGATCATAAGGATAGGCTTAAAGATGCCTTGTGATAAGGAAGGATGTAGGAAACGAAACTATGTTCAACGTATGATAAACAAACTTCCAACTGTTTTCACAATTGGTAAGCATATGATAAGCTATGAAGTTCACTGGTCATTAGACATCAGCAACATAATGCTGATGGTTTAGTCTTTTTTTTTTTTTCTCGTATTTCTTAGCACTTGAGTGGGAGAAGAATGAGACTGAAGGAGAGATATTCGATACAACTTCTGTTCTAGCGACTGAGATTGATATTAGTGCAATATACCGATACGAAGGTGACAGTGCATTCACTAAATACCGTCTTGTCTCAATGGTAAGGGCCAAGTAACTAGTTCGTTTCAGTTCTATTTGGGTTTCCTATTGAAGATTATGTTACCAGAAACAACTCCAGTGTTAATCTATTCTTTTTTTGATAAGAAATGTTAATATATATTCAGGTTTGCTCGGATGGAGATCGATACAACTGTGTAGCTTATGAAAACAATAGATGGGTCAGACACTTTTGTTCTCAGAAAGAGGTAAAGGTTGGACATTTTTGTAATCCAAGCAGGTTACTCGATCTGTGACTGAGTGTTGTATTTTGGTTGTCTAGGTTATTGGAGAGTGGGATGGTGTTCTCAGCATTTTTCGAAAACTGCATATTCGACCTGAGATTCTATTTTTTGAAAATGTAAGCGCCTTTGACTGCATACTTTGTTATGTTTTTCTTTTCTTGTGTTGTGTTCTCAATTCCACCTTCTTGAATTGCATACTATGCAGAGGGAGCAGATGTTTTCCGCGAAGGGATCTGAAGACTCGTGTGTTATTTCTTAGCCCAAATTCAGCATCCTGACTGATTGCTATGATCATTGATCAATGTAGATAGTTAGATACCAGTTTACAGAAACAGCTCAGTTTGCATTTCGTTTGATGTATTGGCTGGTAACACTTGAATTGCTCAATCTCTTTAATGGACAACACTTGTGTTCTAGTTCTCTTCTTTGATGTACTCATTTACATTTTGACACAATATACTTAATGGCCGGTGAGTGGAAACACTTGTGTTGTTCAGATCCTCAAGTGGAAGATTTGTTTATCATATGTTAGGTTTAGACAATCATCCCACCTAGACCAAAACATATCGATCGATGTGTAAGACCTATTTTTAATCTAGAGGCGTTTGAGACTTTTGAAAAGACTAATGAGAAACCAAATTTCTTTGCTAGAGGAGATGTACTTACTGTTCTGTTCAACAGTCTTATTCTCATCAAGGATGCTCGGTGAAGTTCTCTGTTGTACCATGAAGACCATGTGGGAAACGAAAATATAATATGTTCAACGTATGATAAATAAACTTCACAATTCTATCAAGTGTCTCAACATATATATATATATATATATATATATATATATTTTGTTCTTTCTTTGAAACTATGATTAGTCAAAGACACTTGATAGCCAAAGACGTTTTTGACTGTCGAATAGATAAAGAAGTCTTCACAGTTCTCTGTTTTGCCTTTTTTTTTTTCCGAAACAAGTGAATAATTACAGAAAACAAAAGAGTTTGACAAAAAAAAACAAGTCTTTGATACTATTACCATGTAGAAACGACAGCGTTTTAACGGAAAGGAAATAAGGAATGTCAATTGTTGTTTTTCAAATTATTATTACCGTTACATTACAAGGTTAAAATTACAACGTAGTTTTGGTAGTTTTGGCGCATGAGCTAAATGTTTTTTATGGTCAATGCCACTTGCCTAAGTTTTTAATTTAGCCAAACTGCCAGCTGTCATAGTGCCGTTACAATACGACGTAGTTTGGACGCGTATATTTTGTTATTTTATATAAATCAAATGCTTATTAATTTTTCTCTAATTAAGGTTTTCAATTCTTCATATCTCCGCTCCGCTCCGCTCCTCGGCTTCTCCAGCTTTGATCGAATCCGCAGACGAAGTCAGAGAGAGAGAGAGATAGAGAAATGGCTATGGCTATGGGTCGAGCAATGTCCCGCTTACCCGGAGAAGTTCTACGCCGCCGCATCTTACATCGCTCTCGAAGGTTTTGATTCGTCGACCAATGATACTGCACTAATTCTCTACAAGCAAGTCTTTTCCTTATCTCTTCCATCGCTAATCTCACGATTATGAATTTTTGGTTTTGAATTTCACGAGATCTGTTGGTTTGGGTGTTTAATTTTTTTTTGGTCGTATTCAATTCATATCTTTAATGTCAAATTCTTATCAGATTTTAAATTGACATACTTTTATATGTTTGATCGTATATTTTGGTGTTACAAAAATAATACGAGTTAAGCTATATTCAATATTCAGATCCATTGCTGCTCATAGTTGACTTAGATTTATATTGATTCTGTAACTTTATTTATGACTATAATGTTAAAAAGTTAAGCCTTTTCACAAGACATGTGTATGTGTGTGTTGTTGTCCTGTGTTGCGGTCGTGATATGTAGGGTTTTTAGTCTACATCTATGACTATAATGTTAAAAAGTTAAGCCTTTTCAGAATACATATGTGTGTGTGTGTATGTGTGTGCTGTTGTCGTGTGTTGCATCACAAAGAGAGAAACTCTTTCTTGTACTAACTAAATGTCTTAAGTCAACTAATTTTCATCCCTTGTCTCAGTGTTGATGATCTCTTGGATTTTGGCATGTGAACAGGCTACTGTTGGACCATAGCAAATGGAAAAGGTTAGATTTGGTGCTGAGTATCCCAATACTTATTCTACAGTTAAAGGCAATACTTGTTTTGTGTTTTGCATACTTATGGTCGTGATATATAGGGTTCTTAGTCTCGATTAGTATTTTGGTAGACAAATTTATCATACAAGGTTGTTGCATCACAAAGAGAGAAACTTTTTCTTACACTAATTAAATGTGGACTCAACTAAATTTCATCCCTTCTCTCAGTGTTGATGATCTCTTGGATTTTGACATGTGAACAGGCTACTGTTGGACCTTGTATATGGAGCAAAGCAAATGAAAAAAGGTTAGATTTGGTGTTGAGTCTTCCAATACTTATTCTACAGTTTAACATTTTTATTCTTGGATTTGGTTATTGGCTCTTTAACGTTTATGTGCTTTAGTTTTTAATCATAATTGTAGGAAGAATCTTTGTGGTAGATATAATTAGGAGATGCCTTTGCAGTTACTCTCTGAGTCTTCCATATTTCTTTTCGTCAAACCCTATCTAGAGGTAAATATTTCATTACGTAAATCCAGTTTTCCTTGGTATATGAATCTGGAATTTCCCCTTTTTAATTGCTTAAGTGATTATCTGTTTCAAGCTTGTTTACTTTCCTAGCTATTACTAATATTGTTTTGTGGGTTTCATCTATATTTGCTCAAGATTAGTAGATTCATATGTTTATTCTTCCATTCAGGAAAAGCGTGATGAAACTGAAGATCAAACATGACTGTTGTAATGGATCTTGGAGCAGGAAAAAGATCAGCTGGTTTTAAAGCACACGTGAGAAAAACAGCAGTAAGCTTTCCTCTGCGCTCTCTCTCTCTCTCTGGTAAAGAAATGGTAACTTCAAACTTATAATCTGGTCGCATTATATAATTAGTAAGCATGAAAGAAGAAAGATAGTATAGTTGTTACAAACCAAAATTAGATATATCCTTAAACCTTTTTTGGAGCTTCTAGACGTATGCTGTGTTTCAGCATTGCCGGATACTCAGTCTAAATTATTGCTGTTTAATTTTGCAGGTTTGAAAGAGTGATTCTCTTGGAGAAAATAAAAATTCCAAGCAAATTCCTTGTCAGGTTGGTTGATTGGTTGTTGTATGCCTCTGTTAATTTGTTGTGTTGAGTAAAATTCTTATCTTACTACTGAAAGATGAATATCGTCTGATTATATTACTGACTCCATGTTATTGCAATATTATCAGGTGGTGTGACTGGCCTTTGATGAGGTTTTGAACTCTAATGGTTCTTAAGTGATTGGTCTTGAAGCTTAAAAATAAGCACATGTTTATGTTCTTAAACCCATAGATAGATCAATAGGTTTAAGATCATATATAAGAACCTGTTTGTAATTGAAATGTACTCATATGTGTTATTTTTCCCTGAATAGGTTAGATTTTCAAGCTATACATATGAGTTTGAACAATATTACTGACTCTTACGGAACATTGGGAATATCTGGTCAACCGCAAACATAAGGTAGAAACCAAAATTGAGATATCATCCAATCTTTTTTTTTTCTTCTGTTTCATTTACTTTCGTAGGTCTCTAAAGGAGGATATGATATAATTATATCTAGTGTTTCTAGATGCATAATCATTTCTAGATGTTTCTTTTATGTTTGTTTGTTTTTTGCCTTGTAAGGAAAATGGAGCTATAATTTCCCAGTATACACATGAGAGAATTGGTATGCTTCTTTTTTAACTTTTGATAATCTGGAAATTAAAGAAAATGATTTAAACAAAGCGAAAAATGGGAGACTCTGAGCTATTATTACTAGCTTACTGTGCAGCCTTCTAGAGGCTGTGAATGGCTCTAGAACAAGTAAACAACCAACATGAACATGATGCTTTTTTTCCCTATTTTTTATTTACAAAACGTTTTCATCCAAAACCCATCGAGTTTCTTTTGCTTGACCTTAATCAGTGATGATTCAAAAAAAAATTCTAAAGACAGCTTGGCCGTGTAGGGTCTAAAACCACCATGATGAACCAAATCAGAAAAAAAAATTCGATTTGGCCAATAACGGGTATTTTATAGAGATTTTCAAAATGTTTCCTCAAAAAATGTTTTAGACTGAAAAGTGAAAAGGTAAAATCAGATCGGAAAATGTCAACGGAGGAATAATGGTTTTCAACAAAATGAATGTTGACTAATTCGGTTAAGTCTGGTTTTCAACATTAGTTAAACGAAAATTCCAATTGGTTTAATCCAGTTGAAAACCGGATTTATTTTCCAGTTTAATCAAATTCCAATTTAATTGCCGCCCTAACATCGATTTGGTTTGGTTTAAATCCATTATATTAAACTGTTTTAGTTTTGGGTTAAACAATTTTATTTAGTTTTGGTTGTAAAAATAAAGTACCAATTGGTTTAATACAATTTTAGTTTAATTTACAGAAAAACCGGATTGATTTTTCAGTGTAACAAGGTCAAACCGAGATATAGGGCTCTATTCTCATATTTATGTAAGTAATGAATATGATTAAACCGGGTTAAGTCAAAGTCAACATCAACGTAGTTTATGTCTGGTTTAAACGTCTGATTGCTTGTTAGATATGTTTGTGAAATTGATTGCAATATTTTGTTTAATGTTAATGATAATTCTACATGATGATGTGTTTAGCTGTAGAAACCAGTGAACTAGTTGTTAAGAAATATAACTTTGATCAAGTATACTGGAATAGAATGTTGAAACTGTCCACTGATGCTAAAGAGAAGCTTGAAAGTTCATTAAAAAGTGCCTATTAGACATTTTTAATCTGAATATGTTTTTATCTTGTGCAGAGTTTAGTTTACCACCAGTAGTGAATTGGCCAAGAAGGAGGATTATGCAAATAAAGTTTGTGCCTACTCTACTTCGGTTTGGGAAACTTTTGCAACAAGGTTCTGGCCTTCTCCTCCTCCTGGACTTCTATCCATATCTTCTTGGATTTTGCAGGCTAGGACTCCACCTTTTTCAAGCAGCACCATTATCGTCAAGCTCATCTTGCAAGCGGCTTGCTATCTCATCTGGCGAGAGCGCAATGCTCGGATCTTCAACAATATCTCTTCCACGCCATCCACATCTCAGGCCTCCCTCGACCGTTCGTTAAGGGATCGCCTTCTCTCCTTCCCTGCCTCTTCTTCTTCTTCTCCTTCTCTTCTAGCTATTTATTTTGGTTGTATTAGCTTTCCTTTCTAGCTTCTTCTTTTAGTTGTTTGTGTTTTGTACAGAAACAAAAAAGAAAATTGGTATAAATTTAACCTTTTACCAAAAAAAAAAATGGTCATGAGCAATATAATGCAGTAGATATATAGTACTTTTTTCTTCTAATGTTATGAGACTGAAGGGAAATGTTGTTAAATACAACTTCTGTTCTCTCGTAACACAGAAAATGCGACCCCAAATGCCATTTTTTGAACTCGTAATCTCCTTCGACTGCATGTGTTTATGTTTTCTTTTCTTATGTGTGTGTTTTCAATAACAGAAGCACTGGATACATGGTAGAAGACTAATAAAACGTTTTGACAGAGATCTGAAGACTAATAAAACGTTTTCTACGAAACGCATGCAGCCTTCTCTCAAAACGTTTCATTATTAAAAAGGCTGCATACCAGTCTTCAAAGCAATCTATATTCAATTTCTTCACATCTAGAACAATTAGATACGCATGCAGCCTTCTCTCAAAACGCATATATAATGACTAATAAAACGTTTTGACAGAGATCTGAAGACTAATAAAACGTTTTCAATGGTAAAGGAAAGGGATTGATGTATATACTAAAGTGCTCGAGTCTAAGTCAAAACACTTTATAGTGCTTTGGTGGTTACCGTTTTTTGTTTTTTCCAGCCCAGACTTTCTCTCTATTTATTCACTCTTTGAATCAAACAAACTGAAGCAACGAACCAAAGATCCTAGATCAATCCAGCTCTACTTAACAACTTCACTGCTTTGTAATTTCAACAATTCTATTCACATAATGAACACAACTTCTTTTAAACTGGAGCATGACACTGTTTTATACATCAATGCTACGTAACATACTGTTTGATACAACTTGTTAAGTTGTTAGGCCATGGATCGAGTAGCTTCATAAAACAGAATCTCCGGCCGAAGTTTCCTTTCTCCACAGAATCTGACCACACTCTTCCAGTTACCAACAACCTATGGCATCACCACACTTACCAATAAATGTCTGACCAACAAAGTTCACAATTCAGGTCAAGAAAAGACAAAGGAGTTGTTTCTTCTAACCTCTTCTGCTAAAGTTTCATGTCTGAGACTGACCCACCGGTTTTTTGTATAGGCCATGCAGATAAATTCTCCTTCTTCAACACATCCAATCTGCATTTCCATATTCTGATCGAGACTGTAATAGAGAAATACAGAAGAACAATAGCACAAACATTTGTCACAATGTTTCAGATTTTACCATTGACACAAGCCGGTAGTTAGTGTTTGGTTCTAAGCCTTCGTATAACATGCTGATATCTATCTCCCAGTGCAAAGCATTTGTTGTTTCAGATATTTCTTTTTCAGTTTCGTTCTTCTCCCATTCCAACACTAATGTTGCAAACCCAAAAAAAAACATTAGTGTTGTGAACAAAGTTCGTCGTTCCACAATGTTTTATCATATCGAAATAAATGAAATGGGTAGATAAAATCGCAATCATGGTCAAAACTTACCAATTGTGAAGATAGGCGGGCATCTACTTATAGTGTGATGAACAAAGTTCGTCGTTCCACAGCCTCCTGTTTTAACATCACACATCATTTCACCTTCCATGCGGATCACTTTAAGGACGTCCTCAAATTTTATATTCCCCAAAGCACACTGCATGTATATATAAACCACTAATCAAATTTAAAGAAATATTACGAGCTTTTGTAGGAAAGACAAGGAGGGAAATAAATGAAACATACCTTCAGGTCTACGATTGAATCTGCAGCCATGACAATTCCATACGAACTTTGCTCTGGATAATTTGGCTTCCTTCTGCATTTTCTACAACTCATTCTTTCATATTCCTCCAACGTAAAAAGGCGAGTAACCAAGCTTTCTCTTTCGGGACTTTTCCAGAAATGACAAAACTCAAGGATCGCGACAACTACCCCAGCAGCATCACTTGACTGAAAAGGGTGAAAAAAATTGAATGAACATGTAAAAATAATCATATCCACTCAAATAATAATAATATGCTTAGCACATACCATGGAATGAATTTCTTCTAACGAAGCAAATATGTTTCTCAGTAGGTAATTGTACAGTCCCTTTTCTGTTATCTGTTCCGACACAAAAGCAGAAAAGAAATCTTGCAGTGCATAAGGAACTTGTTCTTCCAAGTTGCCATGAAATGGTTGCCGATTATACACCAAATCCTTTTCAAGAGCCTTAATGTTCAAGAGGGCCTGCAATAGCAGAATTTGTCAAAGCAAGTAAGGAAGTGAAGAGAAAATCTATGAAAACAAAGAATGAGCTGAATCAGTAGAGGAGAGTCAATTTTCTGTTGGTGACTGCTTTACCTTAAGCGTCATGTCAAGAGCTGAACGGTATCTGTTTGCAGCTTCTCCGTGTGCAAACTCCAAATGTTCTGAGAATGAATCTTCTCCAGGCATGTTTTCCATATCTTGAAGATGGCGAATGAAAGAAATAAGAGTTGTGCAAAATACAACAAAATAGTTCAAAACATTATCAGTTGAGAAGCTCTCTTTTCAACCAGGGTCACCTTTAGTAGCATCCTCTTGATTGATAGTGTTGAGTGAAGTTTGACCACTTTCACTTGAAAAAGTATCTTCTGGTTCCATAGAGTCTTCTTCCGCCGTTTTTAGTAATGGAGAAGTAACACCCGGTTCAAGGTTGACAGAAGATTCACTGGACATATGTAAGCATACGTTTGCTGAGAAAACCTACAAAACTAGAAACCAAATTTCTTTTCTAGAAGAGAGTTACTTACTGTTCAACAGTCTTATTCTCATTAAAGGCACTAGACAAGCTCGGTGAAGTTCTCTGTTGCACCATGAAGACCATTCCTTCTTACAACTGTGTAACCAAAAAGTCAGCAAAGCAAATAGAGAATTTAGAACTGTAAAGACCTTGTTGCTTTTATTTTTCTTCTTCTTCTTCTTTGACTGTAATTTCTTCTCCTCCTCCGCTTCTTTCTCGAATAAAATATCTGCTTCTTTCTCGAGTGAAATATCTTCTTCTGTTGCGGCTGCCTTGACTTTGGATTCCATATCTAAAATTCTATCCTAGACAATGAGACATCAAATATAATATAAGTAACAAGTGAAACACCAAATCAGAAGGAAGATGAAAGCTCTCTGCATAAAATCAAACCAACCAGCATGACTTCTTTCATTGGTTGACCAATGTAAGAGCGGTAGTCAAAAACAGAAAGTCTGATGAGACCGTTCAGCAAATTAATCCTTGAATTTTCAATAAGCAAAATCTTTGAATCAATTAGAGGAACCTGCAAATCAATAGACACTTTCAAAACTTTCATTGTACAGATGTTAACCTGTGGTTAATCAAAATTCAGGTCAGAAACAAACCAGTAAGTTGACCACAAATTTCAGAAGGTCTAGGGACTTCAACACTAATTCATCACTGAGGTTTGTACTCCCATGTATAACAGTCAAGTAATCTTCTAAATCGGGGAAATCCAATGTCGGATACGATGCTCCTTTGAGAACATCTCGTACTACACACAAGAAAGCTTTTGTAGTGAGAGAATCTCCGGCATCTCTTTCTTTACATCTTTTGCATAAAAGAGATGCATAACTGTTCCAATGATCTTTGTGAAGATTCTTTCTCTTCACATCTTCGCTAATACACAAGTTCTTGGCGCCAGTAAGAGCTGCATCATAATCTAGGTATTGCAATTTCTTTGCATATTTGGTTCCCAAAGTCCTACACGTGAACTGAACTGCTCTCAAAACAGCTATCCAAATATCAAGATTGTGTGCCCTGATAGGTGTGGGAAACGGAATACTCTCATCTTGTGAAGATTTGTCGAATAACCAGGATAAGATATCATCTCCCTGAGCATGTGCCTTAGCGTAGTGAACATTGTGATCAAAAACATTGATTATCCCTTCGTCATCGAATCGAGCAATCTTGCATTGGAGCAGTCTCTTATCCAGGAGCAGAAATGAAAACTGAGGGTCAAAGTCGATCTTTTCTTTAACTCGAGTACCAGCATAGAAACTGTCCACTGCTCTGCAAACTAGATCTGTACCATCGTCTCTTTCACACTTGATGTTTTTTAGAAAATCCAGGATTTGATTGAGTTCACCACATTCCAAAAAACAGATACTCTGAGGTGTTTCTACTAGGCGACAATCGGTAAGAATATGTTTGGAAACTTCAAGGTTTTCAAGATGCTGAACAAGAAAATGCATCACCCAGTCTCGAACGCTACAGGAGAGAATTTTATGGTCACAAAACGACACAAGGAGCGACTGGATTTCCTTGAGTAACTCACTGCGCTCTTTATCCGCAGCTAAAGGCCAGTCTTTAGACCATCCATTCTCATATGCAAACGCTTTCACATCTTCAAGCCGATTCTTAATCAATTGAATGGCAGCTACTGCATCAACTGGATCCCAACCTCCAACCAATATCTTACGAGTCCAGACTTTACTTATCCTCTTAGTAATATCCTTTGCCGAAGAAGGTTTAAATTCTGCTCCATGTTGTTGTTCAAAATGACTCTTACATTCTTCAGGACTGGAGAACTTCACCGAACATGTTCGACAAAACCAAAATCTCCATTTTCTGTCTTCCTTTGCAGAAGTTAGAACTTGCTCCAAAGCATCTCGTCCTCCTGTGCTATATATTCCCTCGACATAGCTCCTAAGTTCTGCAGTGCTTACTTTCATAAAGTTCCTTTTGATCTCAACATTCAAACCCGCCCAATACGACCTCAACCTTTTAAACAAATCAGGTTCACTCTTCCTTGTCTCCCCATTTTCCTTTGACTCCCTAACTTGTTGTTCACAGTTTTCTACAGGAGAATCAACACGAGTCTTGGATTCAGCGATCCTTAACTCTGCATGTTCGATTATACTCATCAGTTCTTCCCTTTCCTTGTTCACTGACTCTCCTTCCTGCATACTCACTGCTTTATATAAACCTTCTTTTGCTTTACGCACAGATTGCTTGTAATACAAGACTGACTCAATCTGTTGAGCCAAAAGGAACAATGTACCAGCCGAAAACGCAGATAACCCGAGATTTCTGGAATAGCATTCAACAGAAGCCAACAAGTAAGTAACTTTCACATCATTGTTCTCTGAATCTCCCGCTAGTTCCCTAAAGATTGTACCTTGAAAGTAATTAACATGAATTCCCTCCACGGGATCGTCATTCCCTTGATCTAAAGACAAATCTTCAAGTACCTCCAAGGCCTTGATGTGATCTCCATCTTTGAAGTAATCTTTGGCAAGGTCGAAGAGTTCGTCGCCATTATCATCTTCCATGAAAGTAAACTCCATGTGTTAGGCAGTAACAATTCTGAAGAATCTTACGTTTTCTTGGTCTTGAGAGGTTTTGTTCTTGGCGAGAGAAAACAGAGGAGAAGCGGGAAAAATCAACAAATAAGGTATAGAAGAGGATGATGGGTTTATCACGTATGAGCCACGTGACAGAGTCTTTGCGAAAAAACAAGGGAGACCCATTTTGGTCATTAAGGAATTGTGTCGAACACCTTGTGGGCATTCTTTGTTTTGGAGTAAATCACACAACTTGGTCGATTTGATTGCACTTTCTCGGAGTAAATGTTTAACATATAAACAGATAAAACCCCAAAAATAGTTTATGAATTTTTCGAATTCGGGTTTAGGAGTAGAATGAAATTGGTTTCTTCTTTTTTTTTTTTATAGAAAATTAGTAAAAATATTCCCAAAATTTATGTATTTTGAAATACTAACTCATGTTTTTTTAAGTTTGAAAACAAAAACTTAAAAAAGTTACGAAAAATACTTTAATAAATTAATGGTTAACAGTAACTGAGTCTACTCTAATGCTATAACATTGAGTCCTTAATGGCTATGACATTGAGTCCTTAATGGCTTTAATGTCAGTGTTGGACATGGGTTTTGCCCCCTATATGTTAGGGGGTCCAAAACAGATGGCACAAGTTTTTAAGAGGGCCTTGATCACTATGAAGAGCCCATTAAGCCCGGAAGGGCAAAACCGTCATTTACAGTGGAGACAGAAGGAATTTTAGGGTTCCTGTTCCCTATAAATAATCAGAAGCATTATTGGGAACGGGATCCGATCCGGAGGTTATTAACCAGTAGACAAGAAGAATCATTGCCGAGCCCGAAATCGTTGCCTAGCCCGACATCGTCGCCTGGCCCGAGTTTCGCCGCTTCGCTCGTTTTCGTATTTTGTCTCTCTATTTCGCACGTTAAGTGTTCGGCTCGGCGGATAGTCTATAACCGCCGCGGCGAAAACTTACATTCTGTAATCTCTCGATCGCTTATATCGTTAATAAAAGGATTAGCTCCGTTCACCCCCCAAAATCTCGTACATTATTATTGTTACAACCTAGGTACCAACAATTGGCGCCCACCGTGGGGCTAGTTCGAAGCTATCCTTTTTTGACGAGACAATGAACACCGAATCTCAAACGATCCGCGACGACATGACGGACACCTCAAGCAACCGAGGAACTGACACTGGCGCGCCAACAGCGCCCGACGCGCCGGGGCTACCTCCGCTGGACCTAGTAGCTGCCCGCGCTGAGCTAGATCCCTCGCGCCGCCTCTTGTTCACACCTAACACAGGAATGGAGTCCGATGCTGCTCACGCCGTCCCGGCTCCTGGCGCACCTACCGCACTCGCCGCAGCCGCCGCAGCAGGAGCAACCGAAGGCACCGCACCAGGACGTGCCCGAGCCGCACACCAAGGCACGCACATGGACGACCTCGTTCAGACCATTCTGGATAGGCTCAACAACCATGACGCGCGGACCACAGAACGGATCGACGCCCTCGTAGCCGCACAAGTCGCTTCCCAGAGCCAGATCGAACGACTACGACGCCGAAGACGTACTTCCCAACCCCACGATAATCAGGAAGAGTTGCAGTCTCCACGAACCCTGGTAGCCGAACGCATAGAGATTCGACGACGCGGCCCAGCATCTATCATCGTCGGATCCATCGACGAACATCTCCCCCAGAATTTGCCGCACGGCCAAAACATGCAGAGCGCCCAGAATCTGCCGCACGGCCAAAACATGCAGAGCGCCCAGAATCTGCCGCACGGCCAAAACATGCAGAGCGCCCAGAATCTGCCGCACGGCCAAAACATGCAGAGCGCCCAGAATTTGCCTCACGGCCAAAACATGCAGAGCGCCCAGAATCTGACGCACAGCCAAAACATGCAGAGCGCCCAGAATCTGCCGCACGGCCAAAACATGCAGAGCGCCCAGAATTTGCCGCACGGCCAAGACATGCAGAGCGCCCAGAATTTGCTGCACGGCCACATCATGCAGAGCGCCCAGAATTTGCCGCACGGGCAAAACATGCAGAGCGCCCAAAATTTGCCGCACGGCCACAACATGCAGAGCGCCCAAAACGTACAGTACGGCCACAACTTGCCGAGCGCCCACCATTTGCAGCACGGTCACCATCTACAGAGCGGCCATAATCTTTCAACCTGGCATAATCTACGGAGCGGGCACAACCTACTTCGCAACCGAACTCTAGACACCGGACGACTCTTGCATGGCCGCCACATTGACGACGAAAACCGTTCTCGCGAACGGGAGCTCACACGGTTGAATGCCTTAATAAGAGACATGTCCTCCAAAATGCATCGGGCAACCACTGCGGCGCCTGAACTGGAAAAGGTTTTGGAAGAAACACAACGCTCGCCCTTCACAGAGCGCCTCTCGGCCATCCGTGTTCTTCACATTAACAAAGTCAAATTAGTCCCATACAACGGCCTCACCGACCCAAAAATCTTCCTTAAGTCGATGTGCATCGCCATCAATCGTGCGCATTTCTCCGTCGAAGAAAATGACGCAGGGAGCTGCCTAATATTTATGGAAAACCTGACAGGGGACGCACTAAATTGGTTCTCACGAATCAAAGCTAACTCGATCGATAGCTATCGAGAGCTCACGACCGTGTTCCTGCAGCACCACTCGGTTTTCATGATCAAGGAAGTTACAAACGCCGACCTATGGACCATGTATCAGAAAGAAAGCGAACCGCTTAGAACGTTTATTGAGAGATTCAAGAAAATCGTTTCAAACATAGCTATAACCGATGATGCGGAAATCGGTGCCCTTCGGAATGCGTTGTTGTTTGGATCGCGGTTTTGAGAAGATCTTATCATCGCTCGGCCATCAACTTTCGGCGATGCCTTGCACCGAGCCAACCGTTATGTCAAGATCGAAGAAGAGAATGCCGCGATGATGGATCGCAACCCAAAAGCATCTAACTCAAGGGATAAAACTCGTTCCTAGAACTCCGCCAACATGAAACGTTACTCTACAAGGCGCAGCCACCAAAAAAAAAAAAAAAAAAAAAAAAAAAAAAAAACCACTCTACCTATCGAGTTTTACCAGTATAATACGAACTACGAATGGCTTGATCCCTTTCCAAGGGTACGTAGACAGTCTTTCACGGGACACAGCTATCCAAAAAAAATAAAAAAAAATTCATCCAAAAACACAAGTGAGCGCTCGCAAGAGTACACTATCATTGATGAGCTCTTTCGGACGAGTCCGCCTCGCCGATCGCCTAGCTCCCATATCGTCGCCCTGGCCAGGCGCACGATTTTAAACGCGTTCCTCATGGATGCAGTGGCGAAATAATCCACAACTTTACTTTGTAAAGATTAAAAGCCGAGCCCAGTCTCGCACAAAAGCTAGCAGGCGGCCGAACCAATAAGCCGAGCTCCGGCTTGCACGTTCTTGCCGACTTCAAAGCACCCACAGGATAAGCCGGACACCAGAGCCGCACCTAAAAAGTACGACGAGTCCGTCTCGACTACATCTTCCTAAGCTCGGCATTTCGAGACACATATAGGATAAGCCAAGAGACGTCTTGCCCCGCAAAATATGTATCGAAGCCGAGCTACGTATTATAATTGTTTTATGATAAACATATCCGAGCCATGCCTCGCACAAAATACAGATCGATAACGAGAACAAAGAAATAACGAAATCAAAACAAATCATCAAGTTATGAAGGTTACAGAAAACAACCATAGTTCGTGACAACAGAGGACCAAACATACGAAACGCCGATCCGACAAACCACTAAAGGTTAAAAGCCCCGATAAAGTCAATAACGCTGAAAGAAAGAAAAATAAAACACAAGCTCAGCACAACGAGTCCATCTTCGATCTCGTCCCGTCTCGGTAGCATTACGCCTCGACTCCATCTCTGGCACGACTCCAAGATGGCATGGCTACAAGCTCGGCACGACTCTCGGTTTGTCGCGACTTCATCCTTGGCACGACTCCAAGATGGCATGGCTACAAGCTCAGCACGACTCTCGATTTGGCACGGCTCCAAGCTCGGCACGACTCCCGGTTCAGCACGACTCTCGGTTCGTCACGACTTCTGGTTTGGCGTGACTTTTGGTTCTGCTCGACTTCTGGCTCAGCACAACGAGTCCATCTTACCGCGTTGACATTATCTTCAGCATAGCACGACATCACCATCTCCACTTTGGCATGGTACTAAACAAGCGACTCCATTTTGGCGTATTATCGCCACGAACACATCTCCGGCTAGGTAATAAGACTCGTCGCGGCACGACTCAACCGGATACATCTCCGTCTAAGGCACGACAACAAGCCACGACAACACCATCACTCTCACGGTGCGTCATGGCAGTAAAACGGCACGGCAGTCCAAGGACGAGGTGCGGCACGGCACGGCAGGCAAAGGATGCGGCACGACAGTCACACGGTGCGGCACGGCACGGCAGTCACACTGCATGGCGCGGCGTGGCACGACACAATGCTGCACGACAGTTCGGTCTCAAAGCGGCCCGGTGCGGCAAAAGGCGGCATGGCACGACACAATGCATCACGGCGCGGGGCGGCACAAGGCGGCACGGCGCGGCACAAGGGGACACGGCGCGGCAAGTCGGTCTAATGGCGCAACGGGGCACGACTGTCTTACGGCGCGGTGCGGCACGACAAGGCCCTCGGCAGCACAGCGAGAGATCCTTCCTCCGGCACGAAAGTGGCACATGGTGGCTCCGCGGTGACTCACGATGCGGCAGCTCCATGCGTCATTTCTGTCTCGCGGCACAGCATCTCCGAGCTCACGACTCATGGTGCGGCAACTCCATCTCACGGCACGGCAGTTCGTCTCGTCTCAGCGCGGCAACTCTGTCTCGTCACGGTACGGCGACTCCATCTCGTCACGGCATCACAGTGGTTAGCGCACAACTCACGGTGCGGCAGCTCCGTACGGAAGTCCAATCTCTACGCGGCGCGACAGTCCAATCTCCACGCGGCGCGGCAGTCCAGTCTCGCGGTGCGGCAGTCCAGTCTCGCGGTGCGGCAGTTCGGTTTCCACGCGGCGCGGTAGTTTAGTCTCGGCGGCGCGGCAACCCAGCCTCGTCACAACTCACAGCACGACAACTCCGTCCCATCACGGCACGGCGACTCCATTTCGTCACAACTCACGGTACGACGACCTAATTTCATCACGGCTCGGCGACTCCGGCGAGGCATAACTCTTCCGATCGCGGCATAACTCTTCCGATCGCGGCATAAGTCCTCCGGCGAGGCATAACTCTTCCGATCGCGGCATTACTCCTCCGGCGAGGCATAACTCTTCCGGAGAGGCATAATTCCTCCGTGAGAGAAATTCACCTTTTTGGTAAGGAAGAGAAGTGGAGAAAGGTTAAAATGAGAAAAAGAAGACATATTTATAAGGAGGAGATCGGCACGTTTTCCAAGAGAAGCATAATTGACCTAATTCCCTAGACACACAGGCTGACTTGCCTCGAAGAGCATGCCGAATCCGCATTCCTTCGGGAAAGCTTACGCTTGTCTCGAAAAACGTGCTGAAGTTACTATTCACCCAGAGAAATTTCGGTTCACCTCAAAAAACGTGCCTAAGTTACTATTCACTGGAGAAATTTTGGCTCGCCTCGAAAAACGTGCCGAAGTTACTATTTACACGGATAAGTTTTCGCCTCGAAAAACGTGCCGAAGTTACTATTCACCTGGAGAAGTTTCGGTTTGCCTCGAATAACGTGCCGAAGTTACTGTTTACCCGGAGAAGTCTCGGTTCACCTCGAAAAACGTGTCGAAGTTATTGTTCACCCAAAGAAGTCTCGGTTCGCCTCGAAAAACAGGCAAAGGCTACAAGACGATTCATTCAAGTCAAACTCTGTTTTGCGCCAAACTAACATATTTCAACCTCGAAGACATGCCCGTCAAGCTCAAGCATATTCTCGCACAACGGACTAAGGGGGGGCTTATTGTTGGACATGGGCTTTGCCCCTAATATGTTAGGGGGCCCAAAACAGATGGCACATGTTTTTAAGAGGGCCTTGATCACTATGAAGAGCCCATTAAACCCGGAAGGGCAAAACCGTCATTTACAGTGGAGACAGAAGGAATTTTAGGGTTCCTGTTCCCTATAAATAGTCAGAAGCATTATTGGGAACGGGATCCGATCCGGAGGTTATTAACCAGTAGACAAGAAGAATCGTTGACGAGCCCGAAATCGTTGCCTAGCCCGACATCGTCGCCTGGCCCGAGTTTCGCTGCTTCGCTCGTTTTCGTATTTTGTCTCTCTGTTTCGCACGTTAAGTGTTCGGCTCGGCGGATAGTCTATAACCGCCGCGGCGAAAACTTACATTCTGTAATCTCTCGATCGCTTATATCGTTAATAAAAGGATTAGCTCCGTTCACCCCCCAAAATCTCGTACATTATTATTGTTACAATCTAGGTACAAACAGTCAGCTTGAGCTAGAAGGATGGCTTAGACGTCGAATCTTATAATGTCAACTTGAGCTAGAAGGAAGGCTTCGATGTCGAATCTTATAATGAAATATCTATTATTTCGAATGCATAAACTGCGGTTGTGATACATTCGACGAGAAGATGCATATGTAGATTTAAACAAGAATACGAGGGATCATGAGACAAGTCTATATACAATCATGTAAATTAATACATTTTACTATACTTTACCTTGCCACACCTTTTCTAACTTTAACAACCTGATAAATAATTCAAACTCGTTTATCTGTCGAAAATAATCTAATCAGGAGCTTCGAAATCTATAAGATTATTCAAGAAAGAAACACTTACATAAAAGAATGAACGTTGTTTTCAAAATTTTGATGTCCTGTGTTATCTAATCAGGCATATCGAATGTCCATTGGAATCTCAGGGTTTTCAATTAAGTTTTGATGTCTTGAGTTATGTTTATCTCTTTCTCTATAGCACACCCAACCCTTTTATTTATGTACGTATACATAATCACATATATACCTCCGAATGTTGCAAAAAACATAAAAAAAAAATAAGTGCTATGCTATCTCCCCAAATTTCTCTATATTGTTTGACTAAATCAATATCCTAATAACTACTTAATAGATATTATGTCATTTTATAGTTTTATTTTCACTCATGATTAGTTTTGTTAACAATATCAAATCATACAAAATCTAAAAGAATTTTTTTTTCTTTCTCATTTTCCGTTTCAAATGAGTTTTTTTTTTGCCTTTCTTTCAATTCCAAATGCATCTTATAAAATGCATTGAAGACAACAAGTGAAGCCTAAACACAAGAGGCCAAAGTCTTGTAAGTGAAAGAAAATAAATATGCCAACGGATGATGCTTTGGAGAAAATGAAGGCCGGAGAAGTATAAATGTAGCCGTCTAAGATTTTGGGTAACAACATTGCTTTTATCCATATCGATTTCCGCAATGTCTCTTTTTATATTCTTCCAAACTGGAAAAATCAACAATATGGATAAATAAGCTGCAACTGCTATAATATGCACCGTGAAGTTGTTTACGATGTTCTCTGTAGTAACCGCGATGATCTTAGGGTATCTGATGTGGTGCGGATGTGATTTTCCTGCTCCAGTTGAAATAACAGAAAAAATTACTCCAGTCGATAGAGCGGGAATGCAACAATTGTTTGTTGTGTTTATGTATCACCCGTCCCGCCTTATAGGCCAAGACAACGTGTTAATCATCTGGTTCCGCCAAAACGCTTATTTCTTTAAACATTCAAAACTTGTTACACGTCTCATAAAGCTTATTAACCTGAGAGAAAAGAAAAAAGGGTGAACACA